TCTCTCTCTCTCTCTCTCTCTGTGTGTGTGTGTGTGTGTGTGTGTGTGTGTGTGTGTGTGTGTGTGTGTGTGTGTGTGTGTGTGTGTGTGTGTTGACGTACGTATTTCATGTCACGATGCATTTCACTGCACCATGCATTTCTCCGGTGAAAGCTCACCGGCACACCTTGCATCCTGGTACTGCGCAGGTATGGCATGTTTCTTTAGTGGCAAGATCGGCATTTACTAAGAAACATGGATATTCTCACGCTCTTACCCCAGGCATCGCTCCTATAGACGATCCGGGCTAGTTCACCCAAGGAAGGAAGCAACTCACATACCAGATTCAGCATACGTCAGATCCTATGTTAATTGAATCTCATACTGACATTTGTCAGCTAATAATCCCTCGTAAACAGCCAGTTATCCAATGGAACCCAACTCAAAAAGGCAAAGCAGAAGATGAGATAGGATTCAGCAAACCTGCACCGTGCCATTCCGAGACCCCGATACTACGTTAAGCACGTAAAGGTCTTCACAGCAGATCCACAGGAGGGGTGGCACTTCCCTGAGGCCTTTCTGTCGCCTGCCACTCACGTCGTCGTCAGAGGGGACATCCTCCTTTGTCGTCTGAGGATGGAGGCTTAGACGAGGGATGCGAAGCTGACGGGTGGGGGCAGGTAGGGGAAGTAAGGCAGCGATGCGCAACTGGTGAGCAAGCCGCTGTAGAGCACTTGGCGTGATGGGGATTAGGATGTAGAGGGGGAGGGAGCGAAGAGGACGCTGTGCTGTGCTGCTGCACCTCATGCATGCTTGGTGCTGGGCACGTGCTTTGCAGGTCACGAATCGGGAGTCATAGGATGAAGAAAAGCATAGCTAGCAGCGAAAGAAAGGCGAGATATGCTAGGAATGTGCATGCCGACAACTCCATCGAACTCTTCCTGCTCCTTTCTTTGAATATCCGCGCTGTCGTTCGAGGACTTGTTCGTTGCTAGCCCTGGAGCCGCCGAATCGCACTCATCTGCTAGTCCTCCCAGCACATCACTGCAGTCCCAACCTGCGCTCGCTATGGCAGCTTACTGCCGCCAGCCTATGCTCGCTGCTACCTACCCGCCTGGAGGAGCCAACTGCCTTTCACTCCAACAGCCAGCATCGCAGGGTCAGAGCACTGGCAATAGCTGCGATGACTGTGATAGCGCTAAGCAGAGCGAAGAAGAGGGTTGCGGCGCATACGAGCAGGGTAGTAAAGCGCGCGGGCGCTAGAAGCACAACCTCCGAATGGCAAACCCACAGTAGCAGGCCAGCCAATACTAAATTCGGCATCAGCGCAAGACAGAGGCCAAGGAAGGAAAGAAGCGCTACTAGGGACAACGGTTCAATCGTGACGGGTGCCATAGCTCATCAGTGCTATACCACTTCATCCGACTCAATGCAGTCCTCCGCCTGGTCCAGATCCACGAAGAAATCCATGCCGCAGATGAGGCCACTTCCGCCCAGAAAAACGCCGTAGGAACCCAGGCCCCAGCCTTTGATGAATCCGGTTACCTTTGAGCACCGTGCCGCCGCACAACGCATCGACTGCATTATGCTGCCCTTGGTCGTGTCACACTCTATATGGAGGATGACCGCCGTCGTCACAATCCGAGCTTATTCCGGAGTAAGGGGTCGCTAGCTTATTTAAAAAGGCCGCTTAAGCGCGCACAGTGCTTACCGACTTATTCCCTTGGTACCATCAAGGCAAAAACAAAAAAAAGGAAAACGGAAAAGAAGAAAAAACAAAAGGGGAAAAAAGGGAAAAGGGAAAAAAAGGAAACAACGGGGGGCCAGCCTTCGAACCTAGCTATAAGAATCTTACTCCGGAATGCCTGTCCGAACTACTAGCGCACCCGAGTCCCCCTTACTTTTCTCCTGTGTCATTAGTCTTTTTTTTTTTTTTTTTTCCAGTTGAAACAGGTCCTTATGGTCCTGGCTCCATATCCATTCTGGGGAGCGTCAGTCCGGTTCCTTTCCACCGGCAAGTCAAACATGAAATACATGGTGAACACTCTCACGCTTCCTTCCGTCTGGCCGAAGGAACCCTGACCAGCATTGATTGCTCCGTATCCGGAGGATTGACTGTCAGCTTTCCCTACCACTTTTCCTCTCAGGATCTTTGAGATTCTGTCAAATGATTAGAATGAAGCGAGAAAAGAGGAGAGTCGTCTATACTGTTGAGATTAAAATATCAGTTTTCCCATCATTGGGTCACCGTCCTTGTTGGAGTTGTGCTGTGCGATTTCTTCCAAATCAATCTGTTATCCGTCACAGTTGCGACCTTTCCCTGTAGAAGCCAGTTCCTCATGAAGACCCGTCTCTTGATAGCTATCCTTTCTGGTCTGCCTTTCATTGTTTCTGTCACCTCCCTCCACCTGGATCGAATCTCAGTTTCAACTTTCAACCATTCCCAGCAATAGCACCCACATTTCTTCTCTTGCCACCTCAGTTCCTTCGATCGTCTTGGTACATCTCCTTTTCCAGATTACCCATAGGGCCAACTTCCTGAGCAAGTGAAACCAGACTTCCCTGCCGCCTTTGAGATTGTTAGTATTGTTGGAGAGGAGCAGGATGTTCAGGGGAGTTGTAGGCGGAGGGGGTGATGAGAAGAGGTGGGACCATAGGCCTCGCACCTTGTTCCATATCAATGCTGCTTCCATGCAGTACAGTAGACAGTGGGGTATATCTTCTGGGGTGCCGTCTTTGCATAGTCTGCAAAGCTCGGAGTTGTCAGGGTCCGTATGTCTCCTCCTCTTGTGGAGCCATTGATTGACAGGCAGCGATGCGTGCGCTAAGAGCCACTGCATGCTCCGAATCCTAACCGGTCTAATGGGCAGGTACTTTATCCATGGGATGGAGATGGGGACTGTGGGGTCCAGATTTAGGATCTCTCTCCACTTTCCTTTGAGTCTGGGGTCCGAATCTGTGGTTTGCAGCCCCAGCTCGTAGCCGAATTTGACATCGTACTCCACTTTCCTTTGTTTTCCCAGATTTGCCCTGCTTCCAGACCCACTCTTTCGGGTCGAATTCGAGGTCTGAAATGCTGAGGTCCGGTTGGAAGATTCTCCAGGGTTTGGACTTAGATACCCTCACTTTTCTCAGTCGGAAGGTTTCGAGTGTGTCGCAGTGGGGGTCTTTGTTCTCGATTTCCAGCTCTTGTGGGCTGTGGTTAGCTATGGGGTATGAGTAGAATTTGGATAGGTAGCCGAGTGAGTTGGTCCGAGAGACGAATCGATATGCTCTGGTGGGTCGGGTTTGGAAGATGAGTACGCCCCAGTCTCCGGACTTCCATGAGAAGTCTTCCCGTAGGAGGGAGAGCCATTGTGGTGGGATACTCCTATGGATCAGCGTTAGGTTATCGGCGAGGGTGTGGCAGCCTTTTAAGACCTTTCGTAGTTCGTGTTCAGTAGCCCATCATCCTTGGTCCTCTGCCCAAATGTGTTTGTCCTGCCATACGCCTTTTTCTACCCAAGATTGCCATCTTCGGTCTTTTCAGCATAGTGTCAATGTTGCTCCACTGGGGTCAGTGATCCAGGGGTTGCAGAAGAGAGGTTGTCTGAGGACCTCTTCTCTGTTCCCTGGTGCGCCGTGTTTAATTGGCATCATTCTGCGCCAGGCTTTGATGGTAGGGCTCCAGTATGAGACAAGTGTCTGAGTGGGGGTTGTGATAGGCTCGGCAGGGTTTCTCCTACGCAGTCTGCCTGATTTGATTGTCCAATCCGTTGCCATGAGCCAGTAGAGCCCCTCCATATTCGGGGGGAGCTGACGGGTGCCAGGTTTCTGATGCTGTCTAGCACCATCTGGGTCCATGGGAGGAACTGTCTGGTCAGGATCTTGATCATCCATTTCATCTGCAGTGCTATGGCCTCCTGTTTGGGGTCGATTATCCCGAGGCCTCCTTCCTGTGGTTTCCTGGTGATGTGGTTCCAGGCGACCCTGTTGATACAAGTGGTTCTGTTGGGGTGCCGCGCGGGGTGAGAAAACGCGCGAGGGAAGAGGGGGGAGGGGCGCGCGCGAGGGAAAAATGGGCGCGCGGGGGGAAAGGGGGTGTATTGGGATCAGGGTGGGGGTGGGGATCGAGTCGGAGGGGGAAGACGAAGTCGGGGGGGAAAACGATCGGTTTGTCCACTTAGGCAACGAACAACGCCGCCTCAACACCATCATCTCCACCGCCAACTCATCTCGTTTCCACCTCAAATTCATCGCTGCCACCCTTGGTGCGTCTACAACTAAGTTCCGGGCCCTCCTTGACATTGGAGCCACCGGTAACTTCATCACCGACGCGTGTGTCTGCAAAGCCGGTCTTACCTCTACCGG